AAAGCTGCCCTTTAAAATCCAATGCAATTCTTTCATATGGTTGCATGGCTTTTATGACCTTACTGGTTTTAGGATGGTAAAACTTATGTTTATTTTCAATGCAAGTCTTGCATGAGTTGGTAATATCTTTCACATCCTCTACTGAGTATGGAAGGTTTTTGATGTTTGCTATATGGACCATATGTGTAACAACTGGGTAGCACAACTCACTATGTAATTTTTTTAACTCTTTTTTGCAAACAGCTGAGCTACATATATGAGAGAGGGTGTCCACAGCTGTGTTAATCTTTACTGGGGTGGTACGTTAAAAAGTTCAAGCTTACGCTTAATCAAGACAACTGTTATTTTAGATGTAAAAATATGCAATTACTTGGGTACATAATAAGTAAAAATAACATAAAACGTGATCCAGAACATCTGAATCCATTATTTGGCCTGCTAGTCCCAAAAGATTTATCCACCTTGCATTGGGAGTGTTTGCACACTATGCCAATTGGATATCATCTTTTTCAGACAAAATTGACCTTCTAACAACAGTATTGAAATTCCCGTTATCTCCCATAGCAGATAAAGTATTTAGTGAGTTAAAAAGGGATATATTGAAAGCAGCCATTACTATGCTGATCATACACCATCACTGGTAGTAGAGACAGATACCTCAGAATGTGGCATTCAGTTATGTGCCATGCATGATACACATGTAGGCGAACTTGTATCTTTCAATAGATGACTGACGAAACAGATTTTTTCTTGCAGTAAGTTGCCATTTCTTTCTGCAGTAGACTAGTTACCATCTAAGGCTATAGAACTTAGTCTGTCCTGCTATTTATCCATAGCGGTGGGAAGAGGATTCACACCTTTCCCAAGGGTATTAGTACGTAAGTGAATGTAATGGATTCAAACTCCTCTCTCCAATTCCTCAATCCGAGCTACTATCCATTACTCCACTGTGAACGTGGCATGTCTCTCTCTCTTTAAGACAATCAAGGAGGCCCATCACTTTTTTTTTCTCTAGAACCCTGTTTAAATCAAAATGTAGGCATTCTGCAATAGACAATTTGTTAAATTATCATAGAATTCTTTTTGTGACAATAAGAATTAGCTTAGAAGTAAGTTTTAATGAACTCTGAATAACAGCAGAATTCTCCTGACTATATTTGGTCAGGACAGATCTAATTAATGGGGGGAAATGATCAAAGATATGTTTTTATAACACTTAGACTAGAATAGAATGTATAATATATCAGAAGAATTGTGATGAAATTGATCATAAATGAAAATGACATGTTCATCATTAATTAATCATAGCTAAGGATCAGAAGCTCATAAAGTATTGAAATAAAGTTTTTATATATATATATATATATATATATATATATATATATATATATATATATATATATAATTTCAGGATCATTTTCCAACTTATTCAAGATGATCTTTGTCCTCTCTCACCTAACTTTCTGTCCTGGAGTAACAAAGTGCATCACATATGATTTCATTTTCAAGTCTTTTTTTCACTGTACTTTGGACTGTCATAGTTGAAACTTCTCTCTCATGTGTCAAATGTCTTATGAATTGAGTTGGATATTTTTTTTAAATTGATCTCTTAAGCTCTAAGTTGAAATAATGACCCCTTTTGCTGTTGTGACCTCCTGATCTAGTTTTCCTCTCTAGTGTTCCCTCTTTTTAAAACTTATTCACTGTTCTCTTGATTGGACTTTGAAGATGGAAGCCAGAGTGTGAATGATGGTACCCTTACTGAAGGGCTGAATGAGGTTTTTTCCTCTCACCATTGCTCAGTTGAGAAGACAGTGGGTCTAACACAAAACAATTTTAACCTGCTCTCTTTTTAGCTGAATAACTCAAAGGTTTTTTTTTTTTTTCAGTGATTCTTACAACAAATGGTATCAAGATGGCTAAACGTCTTATCTGGAAAAAAGAAACTCAATTAATTTAGTGTTTACTTTTTTTTTTAGATATTAAACATTTTGTGGGATGGACAATTATGCTGTTACACCCAGTATATATAATACAGAATCTAATAATTTTTACTTTTACTTTCTTATTCTGTGACTGCAATATTTTTAATCACATTGAGCACTGTGCTTGTTAGTGTATTGATGTCATTGGCACACATTTTATTATTGGATGTATATATATATATATATATATATATATATATATATATATATATATATGTGTGTGTGGTTCTAGTAAGAATAAAAAATATTTATAAGTGATTATCAACATTTCCAAACTTATGAACCTGATGAATATTTGAAAATATGATCTGAATCCTAAATTGTTATTTTTAGTAGAAGTAAAAATAAAAATTAAAGATAATAAGAAAAATTTAATATGAATATTGACAAAACAGTATTTCACTTTATTCACTACAACTTGTATAGAACACTGAAGTTAAGCAATGCCAAGCCTGGTCAGTACCTAGGTCAGTGACCGCTTTGGAATATCAGGTGCTGTAAGGTTTGATGTGTGAGTGATGTGATGGATAATTGCTTAGAATTGGATCTCTGAGAGCCAAGTTCCAATTCTAGTAAGGAATGGGTTAATTAATAGGACTTGTATCAGTGAATTATCATCTTAAAAAAAAATCTTACAGTCTAAAAACAATTTCTGGCTTATTTAAAGCCAGAAATTGTTTTTAGACTGTAAGATTTTTTGAGGTATTTTTTTGTTATTTAAACATGCAAAAGGTTGATAAGATTCAAAAATAAATCAATTGCTCAATCAAAACAAATTTTTATAAGAAAAACAGCTGCCTGTATATACATTATGAGTTTTTATTGTGACAATTTTTTTTTATTTATAGTGAATTAGATATTCATAAATTGGGAAGGGTGTCTCTTCAGTTTTTTTTTTTTTTTTCTCTTCTCATAATCAAAATATCCAAAAGTTTCTGATCAAAATGATGAAAGATTTTTAAAATTGCATTTCTGTTGTAATTATTAATGATAACAATTAATTATTGATTAATAAAATTCAACCGAATAACATTTGTATCTGTTGATATCATCTTGAAAACGTGACATTTATTTTCTGCCCAACCTCATACTTTATCAAAGCATATTAACCCATTAACATACATGGTAAGATTTCATTTTGATTTTAAAAATCTAAAAAACAAATCTGTTATTATATATATCTTTTTAAAAACATTTGCTGCTGAATGTAGGTTTTTAAGATACCTCTGCTATCAAATGTAGGCTTCCATCTATAACCCATTAATGCCCCCCCCATCTGGTGGGTTAAAAATGACTTAAAACAACATAATCTGATTTAATACTCAAAAGAAAGTGAAAAAAGTTAATTTTAGAAATATTTGAATTTACAATTGAAAGTTTTGCTTTTTGATCTCTTTTTTTTTTTATTTTTTTATTTAGTTTTTTTTTAAATTTTTTTTTTTTTTTTTATTTCTTTTTTTTTTTTTTATTTCTTTTAGTTTTTTATTTCTTTTTTCATTTTTTTTTATTTTTTTTTTCATTTTTCTTACTTTTTTTTCATTTTTTCTTTCTTTCTTTCTTTTCTTTCATTTTTTCTTTCTTTCATTTTTTCTTTCTTTCTTTCTTTCTTTCTTTCATTTTTCTTTCTTTCTTTCATTTTTCTTTCTTTCTTTCATTTTTAAAAATAAAAGTTCCAGTACAAGAAAAAAGTAAATTCTCTACTTAACTCCTGATTTGGTATTATCTATTTATGAGATATTGCTAGTTTGGTGTAGGGATATGATACCTTGTCATCCAGTAGGATGAAAATCTTATCTAATTTATAGTTACACATACACATATATAGTCATACACAGACACTGGTTCACATCTCCTCAGTGTGGCTAGATGTCTGATTACTTCAAGCCAGGATTGAAACCTGAGTGATTTGACATCAGTCAGATATCTTACCTCTAGGCCATCATCACATGTCAGAAAGGAAGTGAATTTTAATGTTTTTCTCTATACAAAATACACCAGCTGCTCGAAGAACAATTCATACTTGATGAGTAATGCTTCATAGCAGTAGGAGCCGCTGTTTTTAAAAGCCCCTTTCCTTAGAGAGCTCAACTGGATTTCTGGGAGCATATATATAGTCATCCACTGACAGACTGTGTGGCTTGACATCTGATTTCTACAAGCCAGGATCATATCTAATATATATATGATCAAAAACAATCACGAGTTAATGAACAAAAATCAAACGAATAGATGTCAACCTAACAAGCAATAAGATAAAAGTTTTAGTGGAATAAAAAAGATTACTAAATATAAAATGGATTACTCTTTCAATGTTCTGTCTTTATTTTTTTTTTCTAATTGACTGTTTCATAGAAAATACCCAAAACTCCACCAATTTCAAATTAATTTCTTCGTAGATTGTTTAAACATTTAGATATTTATCAAACCATAACCTCCCAAATATGCACATTAAAGTAATTTTTTGAATTAACAGCGTCTAAGAATTTGAATGAAACCTGTCGTGTAATTGATTGGAGTTGTTTGTAACTTCTTCCTTTAATGTCGTTCTTATCATTCAACCCTTAGCCATCTATATCTAATGACGAGGCGTGTTAAATTTGAGCAACATCTAGCCGACACACTGGGGTTAAAATAGGAAATTGAAATGATACATATGACACACTCATATCCTCTCTCCACCTCACTTCCTCACTTCATTTAATTTTACATTTTTATACTTGATGAGGTCCGTCAATTTTTCTGAATTTCTTTTCATTTTTCATTTCTTTTCATTTTTCATTTCAGCTTTTGGAAGTAAAGTCTGATGATTCAGAACCCTGTTAAAGGGGTTATGGTGAAATAGCTTATTACATGGAATCTTAACGTGGTCTGTTTTTTATTCAAAAAAATATATATATATATATATATGCAATATCATATAAAGAAAAAAGGCATTTGAACATCTGCTGTTAATAAAATATTGCCACAAGCACTCATCATAAATGTTGTTTTTTTTTTTTTTTTTTTTCTTTTCAGGCAATGGATGGAGATTCAACAATTACGAAGCAAAATGAAAAGGAAAGTTGACACAAGAGCAAGTAAAGGAAGAAAGATTAGGTATAGTGGATTTAAATTTAAACTTAACATTTTCATTGTTGCCTGTTTGTGATGGCCTGTTTCGGGAGTGGGGTATAGAAAATAAATGGAAATAATTGTCTGTTAAGATGCTGATGGTAATTTCTCCATTTTTCACTATTATTTTGATTGGATATTCTGCAATATGAACTAAGCTGAACAACTCTCCCAATGCTCGATTTAATAAAAGATATGTCACAAAAGAGGTTGTATTGTAGGCCACTATATACCTACACTTGTTTGGAAATAGTACTATGCGCTTTAGTTTATAACACAAATGCTGAAGAATGACATTTCATGGTGTTCTTAAATGTAGATAGTTGGTAAGTTTTATAAAGACGTATAAATATGTCTACAGTAGCAGAAGTGTTAAGAGACTGTGTGTGTGCACCAACACTTTCATTTGGGCATGGTTTTTGATGTCTAATATAAAGTCTTGTATATGTTTTCTTCATTCTGACAATTGACTAAGCAACATGAATCAATTGTAAAGAATTTCTGAGATTGCCATTAATTTTTGTTGGCTTAATTCACATTCGGCATAAACATTAAATCTTGGGGACTTTTTTTTTTAAATAATGACCAATTTCTTGAAATTGGTTAATCAGTGTTTAAAAGTAATGAGGTAGGTAGTGAGGAAAAGATTTTAAAATCTGAAGAATTATTATCCCAAACACCACCACTAGTCATAGTGCCTGTAAAGAAAAAAAAAAAATTGTTCCTATATTGGCACTCCCTAAGATTAAACTGTAGTATTTATACATTCTGTGAAGTGTTACATATGCTCATATGTATGGGGTGGCAAAAATTGAGGACCTTAGGGATAATACATGAAAATATTATTTACTCGTTATTTAATGATGTGCTGTTCAAAATGTCTTCTATCTTTTTCAAAACACATTTCAATTCTGTGCCTGCATGATTCATTAACAAGTCAAAGTGTTTCCTGTGTCATTTAACAGCATTCATATTTAATTCTTTCTTTGAGTTCCTTAATATTCTTTGGGTGCATCTGATAAACAATTGATTTCAAATGGCCCTACAGAAAACAATCCAAGGATGTGAGGTCTGTTGACCTTGGTGACCACTCAACTGGACCTCTTTGAGCTATCCTTTAAACCCTATGGTGTGGGACATTTACCTCACCCTCTGTGTGTATGTATTTTTATATATATATATATATATATATATATGTTAAGAAATGGACAAGGTCCGACAATTTATTTATTAAAGACATTTTTATTTATGTTTAACGTTGTTATTTTTATAGATACAAGTATTTAAGCAAATGCTCTGTTTAAGATAAACAGTATTAAATAACATTTACCGGCCTGAATGTCGAGAAATTTTCATATTTCAAAAATATTCGTTCATAGACAGAAATTCGAACCTGCATCCTAAATTTGGAACTGTCATATCACGCTAACATGCCTTACCACTCGGCCACCATGAACCTTATGGTAGACAAGGTCAATTTACTGTTATAAACTACAATCTTCCATGAAATCGTACATTCATAACTGCTCTGGCGTATCGAATGTAAACAAATGACGTCATATGTTAAGAAATGGACAAGGTCCGACAATTTATTTATTAAAGACATTTTTATTTATGTTTAACGTTGTTATTTTATAGATACAAGTATTTAAGCAAATGCTCTGTTTAAGATAAACAGTATTAAATAACATTTACCGGCCTGAATGTATAGATGAGAAATTTCAAAAGAAAAAATATTTTCATAGACAGGATTGAACCTGCATTATAACGGATTATGGCGTCATTTGTTTACAAGTTAGAACCTTGGATTTATAACCTATGTTGTTATGGTGGTGTTCATTTGTAATTGACAGTTAAATATGTGTGGTAATAACGCTTTAGTTTATGTTATGAAGAATTAATATTTTATTTATGAAAATGAAAATATCAAATGTTATTTAATAGTTTATCTTTTAAAAAGAGCAACAATTGATTTTAAAATGAATCAAGGATGATCTATATTCTGAAATAAGATTGAATCAATTAAACGTTAAAATATAAATAAAATGTTTTGGGTACTTTTATATATATATATATATATATATATATACATAAAACAGAGGGTTCTAAAAAATATTTTTGACCAACCCACTTCCCAAGATCATTATTTTAACGGCGTAATACCAGAATAGATGACTATACATTATACTTTTTTTTAAATAGATATTTTTAATCTCTTATCTTTATAGTACAAAATGTTTTATTTGTCATCATCTAAAGTTAAAGTGTAATATATTTTTTCACTTAGAGAAAATTTTCAGTACAAGAGTCAGAATATTTTTTTTTTTTTTTTTTTTTTGTGGACCAAAAAGAAAAATAGTTTTATAAATAAATGAACAAACTGAATCTATTTTTATAATCAGCCTGATATGATTCAGAATGAATGAGAGAAAAAGAATTTTGTGGTCAAGAGATTGTAACCTGTAGGCCTTAGATTGGAGACTTCTGTCTTCTATCAGGAAAGCACAAGTTAAAATGTTATTAGCTTCAAGACATTAAAAGGCAGATTATCTCCCTTTTCTTCTTTTTTTCTTCTTTTCTTTTCTTCTTTTCTTTTCTTCTTCTTTTCTTTTCTTCTTTTCTTTTCTTCTTTTCTTTTCTTCTTTTCTTTTTTTCTTTTCTTCTTTTCTTTTTTTCTTCTTTTCTTTTTTTTCTTTTCTTTTCTTTTTTTTTTTTTTTTTTTTTTCTTTTTTTCTTTTTTTTTTCTTTTTTTTTTTTTTTTTTTTTTTCTTCTTTTTCTTTTTTTTTCTTTCTTCTTTCTTTTCTTTCTTCTTTCTTTTTCTTTCTTCTTCTTTTTTTTTTCTTCTTTCTTTTCTTTCTTCTTTCTTTCTTTTTCTTTCTTTTCTTTCTTCTTTCTTTTCTTCTTTTCTTTTCTTTCTTCTTTCTTTTCTTTCTTCTTTCTTTTCTTTCTTCTTTCTTTTTCTTTCTTCTTTTCTTTCTTTCTTTTCCAACAACCTCAGCTAATTTTTCTCTTACATATTCAGGCACACAACTATCATATTCATTGATCTATTTACTATGGATTCCACAATTTTCAATATCACATAATACATGTAACCCGTTTTCAAAAGAAAAATAATTTTTATAAATAAATGAATAACATTTGAAAGAATCAATTGGATCATTTTTTTGTAATAAGCAAAATAGGATTCAGAATAATAAGAGAAAAGTGACAAAACAAGAAAATATTGGAAACCATTTTACTAGAGCAATTTAAAAAAAAAACAGTTTGTCCTTTGTTTTTGTTCAATGTAAAGAAATTTCTATTGATTTTTAATCTTATGTTAAAATGAGAAAAAAAAATCAGGACAGAAGACATACTCATCAACAGGCTGCTTAAAATCAAAGGATGGAACACTCATATTAGAGGAGGAAAAAATTCTTCAACGCTGCTTCTGTGATGAAAGAGAACAACCAGCAATACACAGAACTATTGATGGGCCTGGAATTCTGAAAACCGAAGTAAAAGCCACACTGACCAAATTGAACAGAAACAAAGTGGCAGGGCCAGATGGAATTGTAATGGAAATGCTGATAGCCTTAGATGACCTTGCCATAGACAAGATCACTGAAATAACAAATGAAATTTACAAGAGTGGAGGTATATTGGAAGACCTCAGCAGATCTATCTTCATAGCAATGCCTAACAAAACCAGGTGCAAATGAATGTGAACTCCACCGGACAATAAACCTAATGAGCCACATGATGAAACTCAACCATATTCTGATGAATAGAGTGTGCAGCAGAATCAGGATAGGACAAGAACAGTGTGGGTTCGTCAAAGACACCAGGACAAGGAACATGATGTTTATGCTCAGAATGTTATCAGCAAGAACGATACAAATGCAGGAGGACTTGTATCTATGTTTCATAGACTATGCAAAGGCCTTCGACAAAGTACGCCACAAGGATCTGCTGGAACTACTCAGCAACCTCGATAAATTTGGGAAAGAAGGAAGGAGGGCTTGGAGAATCTCATATTCGTGGATCGAAAAGAGAGACAAGGGAAAACAACAACAATGCATGACATACCTAGCAGCCTTAAACTAGTTGATAACAGAACGGGGTCTGGAGGAGGAAGCAGAGGGAAGGAACTTGTTGAGAGCTGCAAGGGATAGAGAGGGGTGGGGAGCCATGATTGCCTACATCCTGAAAGGACATGGCACATAGAAAAAGAATGATGACATTACACAAGGTTTTTTTTTTTTTTTTTTTTTTAGTATTTACTTTTGCAGAAATGTAAATGCATATACAAACAGAAAATACTATTCATACGAGGTGGTATTAAAAAGTTTCCAGATTAGGATCTCCTGGGAAATTCTAATCCTAATACTGAGAGAAAGACAGCTAATGAATTGCTTGGTTATGATCCTTGTATATGAGTTCATAAATTCTAGTCTTTTCTTAATCATTGGTTACCTTTTAACACTTGTCTTGAATCAACACTTGACCACTTTCGAAGTTTAGGTGTTTTTTTTTAAAAAAAAATTTTTTATTGTTCACATTCATTTTTAATTTTTTTGATTAATTTTTCACATTGTAGATTTACAAGCCATTAAAACATTAAAAATAGTCATTCATCAGGACCAAGATAATAACTGAATAAAGTTGTTATATGACCAAAGAGAAGAAGATCGAAAAAGCATAAAGGAGTAAGAATATAGATTATGACGGGAACAAACATGGGGTCATTAAAGCATAATATTTAAAAAAAAAAAAAAAATAAGATACAACCAAAAAACTAATTCATCATTTCTCTATAACCAATCTTAATTGTTTTATGACCCTTCATATTCCAGAACTCTTTATTGACAGTTCAAGACCTAAAAGAAATGAAAAACAGGATTACTAACACATAAAAGAGAAAGTATGAGGATGAGTGACAGAGAGAATTTTGGAGAGAAACATTTAACATTTCGTGGTGACATATACACACCACAGACAATTCGGATAGGAAGGGAAAAAAAAAAAAGGGAAACATAAAGGAAAAAAAAATGAATTATTAAATCAAATATTTTTAATATGATGTCTCATTTGGACCAAAAATCTCCACCCTTTACCTGATGTACACACACACACACACCCAGACATACGTGTAAGACCAGAAACATATATATATAAAATTATGGAAAATAAAGCATAATATTTATATAAAAAAAAAAAAAAAAAAAAAAAAATCATTCATTACAACATACATATAAAAACGTATACATTTGTGGTATCTCTCTTCTTTTATATATATATATATATATATATATATATATATATATATAATCCAGGTAAAACAAATGAGAACAAATGAAGTATAATTCAGGTAAAATGAGAACAAATGTATATAACACTGTATTTAATTTAAAAGTTGGCTCCATACAGAGTAGAGCTAAATATTGTAATTTTTAACATGTTTCTGTTTTAATATCTTAAAATATATATACTAGCTTAAAAGCTGCTTTAGTTTCTGTGGAGGGCTCTTGATTTTGTCTTTGGCTTGTTTAGGATTTTGAGAGTTTCTAAGTCTTTGTATATATTTTCAGCATAGGAAGCTTTCCTGGCTTCCATTTGATTTGGGTTCTCATTTGCATGAGACTTTCTTTACTTTGCTGCAGCCTTGGCTCATTTGATTGCAGTCTGGTCCTCTCTTGGCTGAGATTTCTTTTCGTGAGGCATATGGCTGCCGTATGCGATAGGCAACAATAGAATACAGAAGAACTCAAAATTGATTGCTGCATTTAAGTTTTGCATTAATATTTATGTTTACCTTTTAAAACTTCAATGATAATTCTTCAGCCGCCACTTAATTTAAAGTTGATTTGATGTATGTAGGTGCTTACTTTCCATACAAACAATTCAATTAATTTTATTTCATGGGTGACTTTTGCTGACTTCTGCAATTAATTTCAATCATTTCCAAGTTATAAAAAATTATCATTATACAAAAAAGTTTGTGGCAAAAAAATCATGTAAAAAAAAAAAAAAAAAAATTGCCAAAAACAATGCTAGTAATGAAAACCTGGGAATCCAAAATTTCTATAACATATGCTATTGAAAGTTAGAGAATTGTGTCCATTTTAATTGAAAAAGCATCACATTGGCATTTATTTTATATATATATATATATATATATATATATATATATATAAATATAAAGATGACCCTGGACCTTAAAAAGCTTAAGATTGTAGTGATCAGGGAAATGTCCTCTTGTTTGCTGGTTCCACAAAGAAAACAGTTTTTAAGAAGCTTCCCAATTGGAATTTCCTTCTTACTAATGGTATGCAAAGGGAATTGGGATAATTTGGACCAGTGCATGAGTCATGGCAGGTTTTAGTTGTGCAGGTCTAAACTAGTGGAAATAATATATGTAGCTCATCTGAACATTTGCCATTGAAATAGTGATAGTGTGATGTTTTCTCTCTGGGTAAAAGTTGTAGAGTGGGAAATAATTAATCACCTACAAGTTCATGTAAACACTTTTGAACACTGGAAAGTGAGACCAACCTCCAGCCCAGATATTGCAGCAATACTCCATTTTTGATCTGACTCTTGTAAAGAGAGAGCATAGCCAGGGGAGTCAGGTTCAAAAAAATTTGTGAGTTAAAAAAATAAAAAATGTTTACTCAAAGCTTGGCAAAGTATTTTGAGGGCCTCAGTTACAGATTTCATAAGTGTTATGTGAAGTTTGATGCAGGCAGGTTTCTAGAATTTGTCAGCCATTGTAAAGGTTGCAGAACCATTCCAGCACAATGTCACAAAACCTGATGTAATAATTAAACATGAAGAAAAAGTAGAAAGCCTTTTGGAAGACTGACTCAATAGGCAAGGTACCAATGAGTACTAGCTAATTGTGTATTGCCATTATTTGGCAGGATGATGGTACATAAAATCTGAGAACTTCCTCCTACCACCTTGTTTTTTGGCTGCCAGATGTAGTAGCATCACTTATCACCTTTGAAATTGGTTCAGATTTTGCATGAATGACTTTTAATGGTTGACTCCTCTTTTCCAAGTATACCTGTTTGCTAGAGTAGCTAAATAATTCCTTTTGTAGATGCCTGCTCAGGCACATTGTTCAACACCCAACCATGTTTACTGCAACCATGCTGACAACTAAACTTGCTTAATTATCTCATTGAAGGTTCAATTCCAACATGTAAACTTTTAAAATGACATTCTGATCTAATTAATGGAAGTGATACCACAATATTGTCTTTGTTATTATTTCAGATATGATGTCCACAAAAAGTTGGTGAACTTCATGGGGCCTTATGACAACAGCAAATGGACACAAGAAATGAGGTTTGTTCAGAGATGGTTGTATTATTATTTTTTTTTTTTTTACCTTTCTCTTTAAATATCTAAGGGAGATAAATAGAATTGTAAACATTCCACCTTCGTCACTTCCAATGCAGTTTCACGGTACTGGCTTGCATACTTTATGTCTGTCTCATAAAACGTTCATTCTCGATTATCCAGACACCTTGGGAGAGGGGTTGAAAAAAAATGTTTGGGTAATTCAAAATTTTGAATAATTGAATATGTAATTTTTTTTTTTTTTTTTTTTTTTTTTTATTAATTCACCCCAAACAAGACAATAATGTCACTAAGATACAAGGGGCTGCTGTAAATGAAAGAGAATGAAAATCACTTTAGAAGGAACCAAATCCAAACAGGAAATAAAGGATAAATCCCTGCTCTTGTTCAAAAATCTGGAAAAAAGTGGGAACCCTCTACTCAAACTGAAGAGAAAAACAAATAGTAAATAAAATTTCAGAATTTACATGGAGATGTTAGAAGTATAGATTTGAAGTAGACTTTAGAAGGTAATTGGAAAGCCAATCCTAAAAAAGAAACAAGAGATAAATATCTCCTCCTGTTCAAAAGACTGAGGAGGAGTGTGTATTGTATTAATTTATTCAGGTAGTGTGGGGGTGGGGAGAAGACAAAAAAGAAAAATTCATTTGCT